AGAATTTTGCTCTGGAAAAAACGTGATCACTTATGGACCAATGAAATCAAATCAATCGCTTATGGACCATTGCAGTTAATACGACGATGTTGGTTTGTTTCTCGACAGAACCACCGCGGTCTGAAAGTTTACATTCATTTCTGAAGCAAGGCATTTGTTCCATCATGAAGATGTATACCCACATAACTTGGGTTTTGCTTAAATTCTTTTTGTAGTACTTTTTCTTTTTTGACACTCCGAGGATTCTGCTTCATCTTGAGGTTGTTCTTGCGAAGTCTTGTTTTCAGAGGATTCCTCGACGAGGAAAGAAAGGGGTCGTATTCATATTCACGGAAATCCCTTATTGTTGTTCATTTTTTTGTGATATTGCAACTTTACTATTTCTGATGGTTGTCCTGTGGGTAGCTCACTACATTCGAGGCGCGGATCGCGCAAACTAGCAGAGCAGAGCATTTCCTAGCTTGACGAAGTGATGCCCTGCACCACTGCCACGTTGAGAGAGTTGGGTCCTGGTAAGATTCGCCCCGCTTGAAAAACCGCTTTGCTGTACTCACCACGATTCGGATGTGCTGAAGTACATCGGTTGCTGCACTCGCTGGGGTCACTTCAGCACATCTAAACCGCACAATAAGTACAGCAAAAGAGACTTTCCAGACGGGGTCATTCGCACCAGGACCCAACTCTCTCAACCTGGTAGTGATGTAGGGTCTAGCTAGAACGAGAACGAGATCCACTCGTTTGTGCGCGATTTCGCGCCCCTGATGCAGCGATCCACGGAGGTCCGTCCCCTTCCGTGCGACTGTTGTTGGGTGACCATATTCTGAAATTCCTAAAGGGGAGGTGCTCTGGTGAAGGACAGTCTACTGCGAGCATTCCGTGACTTCTCTTGTGCGATATTCGAGTAGAACCGATGTGAAATTAACCTCTGGATAAAGAAAAATTATGAGTGGTTGTCGAGAATCAAACCAAATCGGTGTGAGAGCGCGTTCATTATTCGCCATCCGAGCGATCGGTCGTGTTCGCGAAGTATGAACGCACTTGATAGAATCGTATCCCATCTTTGTTAGACCATGCTTCTCTCATAGTTATAGAATCAGCTTGACCTAATCATCACTAGTAATTCGCATATATTTTACCCTTTAGTAGTTAGCCGTGATGTTTATTGTTTCCCTGACTTTATTAACTCGAGTGCCAGGTCTCGTTTGCTTAGTAACCGTTGAAATATTGCAAGGAAAACTCATTCACTAATCCTGGTTGTGCTCACTATTGGTTCATTCAGAGTTAGCCTCTCCTTGGCCTCACCGGCCAGCCGAAAACGCAAAATTCAGTTCGTGCTGTATCCGTACTATTCGGACGACGTCTAGCGTCTGTTCATCAGTCGAAAGGCAGATTTTACTCCTCATCAGTGAATTCACCGTCTAAAATGGTTGCTGACGATCTGAAAGAAAATGTTCCGCTTCAAAAGGAGGTGAGATTACTTGGATTATACTAATATGTTTTGTTACGGCTACCTCTCCTGGTTGCTCACTCAGATCTTGTCCCAAGGCTAAAGATATCGCATGGCAGACGGATTTGAGCCATGGGCCCGAATTCAATGTCCAAAAACGCATTCGACATGTGGGACAGCTTGCGTACAAGGCTGATATCGCTCAGAAGGTGACTAAGAGATTAATGCGACCTCCTCTTAACGGGGAGGTTTTTCTTTACTATTTGTCATCAGGGTGCAGCATCGTGATGTGTGAAATAGTGGTGCCAGTACGACCCTCTCCCTCGAAGGGGGGGGAGGGGGTCTCGATACTGACCCCCCTCGCCTAAGAAAAGAGAGGGTCTCGGTCTCCAGCCCTCCCCTTCCTTCCGCCGAACACCCTACTTACGTCACTCTTTCCGCAAGTTAACAGCTTCCTACTATTTTTTTTCACCCAAAATTTTCCGTCGAAGGAGGAGGGGGGGGGTTAATACATGTGAAACGGGAAAAGCCGCGAAAAGTGGAACAGCCGGGAAAAATTTTTTCTCCCAACGCGGCGCAGAATTTCTCTCCGAAAGGCACATGCGACCGCCCCCTCCTCCCATCCTGACGCCGGACCAAAATGCCAAACCCGCCCCTCCCCCAGCGGAACAAGTACGACCGCCATGGTGTATTCGCACAACCATGGTTGCACAGGCGCCCTGCCTCTTGTTATAACGGTTGTCTACAGTAGAAATTAAAGATGGTCCTGGTCTTATTCGATAAAGCGTGTAGGTCTGCTGAGGTTATAAACAATTAAAAAAATTCGGCGAAATCTTTGTCTTCATGAAGCACGATGTGAATGGGCGAACGTTGAACACAAAAATAAAAATAGTGACGAACATGAAACCGAGTCTGTGTGGCAAACCATGGTAAAAGGAGAACATTCTTGCTATTTATTTTCAGCGGCTGAGCCCTTTCACCGGATGAGGGGAGGAGGGTACGAAACATATCGTTAGAGTGCGTTAATACTTCGCGTTAGCATTTGCTCATTTCTGATTATAAATATCGATCTAGCGGGCCTTGGAGGCGGTACCACCATCAGAACGCTAGATCGATACACCTATACTCTTGCAGTCGCTAAAAACGCTTAAAACGCTGGCGTACGCTCAGAGCTCTGAAGCATAGTATGAACACTTTTTCAACGTATTCGCTTCTCGGCTTATATTCCCCCCCCCCGTAAAAAAAATTTTTCGTTGGCGTGTATATAGCATGTATTTTATTTTATTCGTAACGTATTTTTGACTAGTTCAATTTTCCCCTCGCTTGAGGCGCGCTGGTATTGAAATGCGGCCTTCGGCCTTTGGCGCTACTTATGGTGCGTTGCGGCTTACACAAAAAATGCGCGAGTTGTGAAGCAAAAGATATTGAGTAGGCGGCCTGGATTGGAGCGCTGTGAGTCACCATTTTCCGAGGTTTTGAGTCGCGCTTTCGCCAGACGGGAAATTTTTCTTACACAAGGAGCCCTTTAAAAATGCCCATCCCCCGCCAATTCAGCTCTGAGAAATGTGCATTTGCCAACATCTCACATCAAGTTGGCGATTCAAATTAACAACAGAATGATTTCATTGGCCGATTCGTTTGACACCCAGAATTCGTCTTCACCATTATACAGCAGACCTCTATTAATTTATTCTACCCTTCTCTGAGCGTGAGGCTCTTTATTAAATAAGAGACCTCACCATTGATTTCATTTTTGCCTTTTTTAAAGTCATTTATTCAGGATCCAACACCTATCAAAATTACTCTCCCTGATGGCAAGCAGTTCGATGCTGAAGCGTGCGCTGAGAAAATCTCCAAGGGTCTAGCCGAGAATACTGTGATTGCTAAAGTCAACGGAGAGGTGAATACAGTCTCAATTGATCTTTCTTTTTATCTTCCGTCTGGTAATATCTTTGAAATGTTAGGTGTGGGATCTTGATCGACCATTCGAGGGCGATGCTACCTTACAACTGCTGAAGTTCGATGACGACGAAGCGAAACAGGTGCGTAGTTGCTCCTGTGATAAGTTTGAACTCGTTCACAGCGCTATCTCCAGGTGTTCTGGCATAGCTCAGCCCATGTCCTCGGAGAAGCGATGGAGCGCTACTGCGGTGGACACCTTTGTTATGGGCCACCCATTGAAGAGGGTTTCTATTACGATATGTGGCATGATGTGGGTCCATACGGTCTTTTACTCTTAGGTCTTTCGAATATTCTTTGCACTTCTTTGCTTTTACAGAATCTAACCATTTCGAAAGAAGATTTCCCAAATATCGATCAAATCGTAAAATGCGCCATCAAGGTTCGGTTATTTTATTGTTACGGCGCAGATGTAGAACCGCCAGGGCACATCCTTAGTTGGGGGTTTTGGTCAATTCCGTACGTCATCCCTTTCTAGGGTTTTGGTCCACCCTCTCCCCTCCTAGTACCCTCCTGTGATAGTACATGAAACGGGAAGAACCACGATAAGTCAGCAACCTCTCTCGGATGGTCGGACGGGGAATACACCCCTTTACAATGTCTCTAAAATAAGAAAAATCATTCACCAAAAAATCTTCTCGGCCTCAAATACGCAAATACGACCAAAAATGCGACCCCCCTCTCCCAGCATCCAAATACAACCCCCATTATTGGGGAATCTCCAACAGCGATGTGCCCTGAGGATCGCTATTTGACAGTGTTTGGAGATTGCGCGTCGTCTAGCACGTTAACGACGGGGAAACGTGTGTGGTGTCACTTTCAGTGACGTCATAAGGACGTCATTAACTTGTTAAGAGACCTCAGTGAAATGTAGTCTATCTCTTAAAAGGTAACGTGTTGGACCGCATTCTTTTTCTACATCTGCGCCCTCAATTTTCTTCCATATTCGGCCATTTTTATCGTTCCCAAAGTCCCGATTTACAGGATAAACAGCCGTTTGAGCGTTTGGAAATGACGAAAGAAGATCTCTTGGAGATGTTCAAGTATAATGAGTTTAAGGTACGGTTACCGCGTTTACGTTTTGTTCAAAGTTGCAAGATGAGGGTGTAGGCTACCCGGTCGCATATCCTAATTTACGTCTCGGAGAATTGGAGGGCGTGGGTGCGTAATTCATTCAAAGACGGAATAGGAAGCGTTTTTCGTGATTCTTTTCCATTCGCCACAGCTGTCATCTTGTTTTGTACTGGGCAAAGATACGATTGAACGGAAATATCCCAGCAAAAGGGGGTCGCCTCCATGTTCGAATGAAGCGCGCAGTCGCGCCGTCCCCATCTGTGCGAGATGGAATGTTTCCCTCCGCTTTCGGTGACGAACCGCACGCCTTGTTGTCACATACCGGTGACTCGGTTTGATGTGCATTTCGTAAATACAGTAATGATCATTGTAAATGCAACGGCGTTTGAAGGGAGCGTGGTTCAGAGCGCAGCCAGTGCAGCCTTTCCTATCATTTTTGCTGGTTAAAGATTACGTCATTGGTGGAAAAGGCTGCGCTTCCCTACCCCTCGTATGACCTGTCGTTTCAAGGATCGTGAGTACATGTGCGAGCTATGAGTTTTACTCTGAGAACTTGATTTCAGGTGCGCATTATCAAAGAGAAAATTCAATACCCCGAAAACAACTGTATACCGCTGTGGTCCCCTGATCGATCTTTGCCGTGGCCCGCATGTGCGACACACAGGAAAAATCAAGGTATTTAGTTGCCCACCTGATTGTGGTTTGATCGTTTTTTTATCCAGTGCAGATAATTCTCTCTTTGAAGGCTATGCAAATCACCAAAGCGTCGGCGTCATATTGGGAAGGAAAAGCAGATGCTGAGAGCTTGCAGCGAGTTTATGGAATTTCATTCCCTGATCCGAAGCAACTGAAAGAGTGGCAGAAGTTCCAGGTTGTCATGCGAAAGTTCTTCCTGGTTTTCATTGAATAATTCAATTTTTTGAAGGAGGAAGCAGCTAAACGCGACCATCGTAAGCTTGGACGAGACCAGGAGCTGTTCTTTTTCAACCCTCTGTCGCCTGGATCTGCCTTTTGGTATCCAAAAGGTGCTCACATTTACAACACTTTGGTGAATTTCATTCGGAAAGAGTATAGAAAACGTGGCTTCACTGAGGTATGTTTTCCTGTGGTATTGAAAGTTTATCAATTTGACTAGGGTTCTTTCAGGTTATCACACCAAATATGTACAACAGCAAACTATGGGAAACATCAGGGCACTGGCAACACTACGCAGATGATATGTTCAGGTAGATATTTTGTATTTTCATCTCTGCTGAGTTGAAGTTTAACAATAATTTTCTCTAAGT